GCGAGCCGTTGGGCTCGTGCGCGGGGGCTGGGGCTCGACGCCCTCAGCGCTCCTTCCCCCCCAATTCCTGTCAGGGCCGAGTCGTAGGGGAGGCCGGGCCTCTCGAAGTCTCCCTCTGCATCCCCTCAGGTGACTCGCTCAGCTGGGCTTGCCTGCGTTCTTCTCCCCTTCACCCCTGGGGCGAAGGGGCGCCGCTGCCGGCCCCTCGGCCTCGCCCGGCCTTTGCTAGGGGGAGTCGAGGTACCAGTGCCCAGTTAGTGTCGGCACAGCCTTCACTTGAAAACAGCGCTGATACCTTAAGTCCTGGGGAAAGTTAGGCCAGAAAACACCGCAGGGTTTCACGCTCTGACCTGAGGAAGCCTCCTGCGTGTTGCGGTAGCGCAGATAAAGCCCTTTGGGGCGTCTTTCCCCCTGCGCAGCAAAGTTCATTTCAAAACAGAGAGAGGTATGTGGATTCAGTTGTTTTCTGAAGAGGCTGGTTATGTTTATTAAGGAAACTTAGGTGTGCTTATTTTACTCCTGTTATGTTACTGCTATTATAAAAGAAAAAATACATCAAGCAAAAGCTTTCTGGTGTAGCATTGTGATGAAAAACTGAGTGTTTTACATGGCAAACAAAGCAACAGGAAAAGAATCTGTTTCTTTCTAAATATTTTTGCTTGGTGACTCTGAGAGTGAGTGGTTGAACAAGAAATCGATAGAAACTTATTCCTTGAATTTATGGTAGTCGAGTAGTTGTTTTTATTTCAACCTGCTGCAAATTTGTAAGGGAAGAATTGTGAAATAATAAATGGACTGTAGTTTTTGAGAGAGAAAGTGAATTTGGTTCCAGTCCTGCAACAGTCATCTCTAAGTCCAGCTGAAATTCGTGGCCATGTTCACATGACAGTCATTTTTCAAAGTCAGTTCCTAATACTTATATGAAGTTTGTAGCAAGAATCAAGATGAAAATAGTTAATTATGAGGGCATTAGCAATAGAAAGTAGACTGCTTGAGTATGTTGCAAAAAAGAGAGCTTACAAAGGGTATCTGCAAATTTTTTTCCCCTGGGAACAAAAATAACTTACACAATGTAGAGGCTGCTCAACAAAATCTTGGCCTTGCAGGTACAAACCTAAGAAAATAATTGGTCATGATAAATAGCATAAGCCTAAGACAGCATGACAGACTATTTGACAGATTTTTGATTGTCAGGTTGGCTTTCGTAGGAAACTTTACGAAATACCTGTGCTTAGAATGGAGAAGAGAGAAAGAATTTTGGACACTTTAAGAAGCTACACTTAAACAGCTTCCTTAAAATCATGATTCTGAGTGGAGCTTTAAAACTAAGTGGAGTACTCAAAACTCAATACAAATTAAGAATGCTTTGCCAGCTTTGCATTGAGTACCTGTGCTTGTGTATGCTAATATGATCTTTATTTTGCAGTTGTATTCTGTTTATCTTCAGCCTCATTTATATTGAGATTGCCTAGTGTATGGTGAAAGAGGAGCTGAGCTTTATTTGTTATTTTCATTGTTCAGTGAGTGCACCTACTACAATCCTTTCCTATGAAAAACATTTCTAAATTTAGTAAAAATCCTGTTTCATAGAATATGTGTGGTTTTTATATTGAATGTGTCAGGGCTGTGTGAACCCCTCCTTTCTAGAAGACAGTATGAAATAGGTTGGTATTTTTTGTAGTCTGTTACATATTGCTTATAAAATCTCCTATAAATTTTCAGATATAAAGAATTTAATTACCTGCCATGCTTTTCAAGAGTCTCATGAATACTGAAAGATTATTTATAAAATCATATAATGTCTTTTCCACCTTGATAATTAAAGGGAAACCTAACCATTGAGTAGTGTCTTGACTGACTTTTGCGAAGCATCCCTACTATTTTTGTTTTTTAAAAAAACAACTCATTCTTGTGTAGATGTGTTCGTGTATATATGAATGTAATGTGCATCTATTTGTATATGTGGGTAAGGTATGCATATTTAATGATGGGAGTGTGCACTTCTGAAACAGATACCACTGCATGGGCAAATAAGAGATGGATCAGCTTTAGACTTCAAAAGAAAAAAAAAAAAGGTTTTAGTCACTTAAAGGTATGCTGGGCACAGACAGCCTAGAAAAGCATTCCTATGCTAGCAGTGCAAATCAGTCTGATCCCTGCTGTGTCATGCTTTGCCTTTCCTATTTAGGTGAGTATGATGTTCTGCTGCAAATCCTGTATCACATAATTTGTATCTGTGTAATTATTCTTATTGAAAAACATGTACTGATTCACAGGTGTAATTTATCTATGTACTTTACATACTGCTTTACCTGTATGCAGTCCCCAGATACTTGATAGGAACATTAAAGATAACTTAATTGCTACTTTTACACTTGGAGAAGGGTTTTTAAAACACATTTACTACAAACTACCTGCAGGGCAGGAAAGGTAATGCCTCACAGAGGAAACAATAGCTGCTGCTATAAAATTCTCAGGTTGAGTGCCACCTAGGAATACCACTTCCTCTGTGCAGATAAACTACATGAGACAAGATTCCAGAGTTCAAGTAATTCTCCTGTCACCTGGAAGGGATATAAATTGATTTTTGAACAGTTTCTCATTGTTTGCAAGTGAATGCAACTTTCTCACTTCAATAAAAACATCCATGGTAAGTTTCAGACCTCCAGTCAAAGGTTATCATCAAATCTGCATTTAACAGGAACTAAAGAGGCAAAGTGACCTTCTGAAGGCCACCTAGCAAACCAGGGGCAAAATCTAGAATAGAATCTAGATCTTTTGGACCTCAAACTGTTGCTTTTAACAGCTTCACTGGTTAACCCCTTTGGGCAGTCATGCACATTTCACATGTTATTGAAAATATACAGCTCTATTCAGTACAAAAAGCAGAGCTCTATGTATTTCACTCAGAGAAGTATCAGAAAAAAGGAAAGTGTTGACAAGGGCTATAATGAATTAAGTGAACTAAGTAAATAAGCAATGGAAAGGATGGGAAATGCTTTTTTCATTCTGATCTTTGCTTCTAGAAGTAATGGGCTTACCATTTTTTGGTAATCTTTTCTTTTTTGATGATTTATAGATGTTGCTTATTTTAAATTGGTTATTCTTAAAACTTAGTAACATTATTACTTCTTACATGAAAATTTTCTTTGATTTCATTAAAGCTTTTACTCAAAGTTTCAGAGAAAAAACTGAACTTCTTGCTTACCAGAAGATGGTGCTAGGCAGTGTGCTTTGAATCACTCTTTTCAGAATAGCTGTCTGATTAGAATTCCTTTCACATGTTGGGAGGCTGATACTGGTGTATTTCAGCAATATATTTTCTTTGGTTTAGCAGCTGATTAATTTAGGTAGTACTTCTGATGACTTTACAATAGGGCTAGTGGTCATTAGCTGGCTAAATACACAGGTCCTAATGTAGGTCAATAGCAGGTAGAAAAAGAAGGTAAAACTCATCTTTTATGTCCTGGATTGACGGACACAAATTAGAGCAGTCTTTAGGCAAATTGGCAGCCCGACCTCATCCCCAAAAAGGTGAAATTGGCATATGTTCTTTCCCCTCA